ATAACTACAATTTTTGTGTCTCGTCGCTCGACGACGACTACGCGACGACGAGCGAAATCAGCGTGAGCGTAATAATCGTAATGCCGACAATAGGCGACGCACAAAGGGAATTAGACACCTATATACACGCGGAAGCGTGTTCGCGCGCGTCGCGGGCGTCGCGACAGCCGTGCGCATGTCACCCCCTTATGTTGTCTCTCCCCGGCCTCATTCTCTCTCTCTCTCTTCTCATGCTGGGGTTGGTTCCTCTCTAATTACATTGATCCCCGACCGCCATCCGATTGGTCCACCATCCAGGATCCAGCCTCCACCCGCTCCACCACTGCCGTCGCCGCCACCGCCGCCACCGCCGCCGCTGCCGCCGCGCCGTGCAGGTAAATCTCATGCGAACGTGAAACAATCAGATCATCCGGCAACCGCGAAGAGGGGTACGGGGCAGAGGGAACCCCCGGGGTCCATGATGACGCCGGGATGCTGTGGAGAGTGTTGCCCAAGTTTTTTAGCCACTGAGCGTTTAATGGTTGGGGAGGCGGAAGGGGGGCTTTACAGAAACTCGATGCCGTGATTGTTGTTGTTGTTGTTTCCGTTCTGTTGCTGCTTGATATCGCTTGATCTTTTGAGGAATAGAATGCCAATGCGAATGTGTAAAACGTGATGCGCGAATTAAAGATAATTGAGAGATAATATCGAAAATAAATATGGAAATATTGCGTGATAAAACGAAATTAAAATAAAATAATAATAATGATGTATTGCATTACGGTAGCCAAAATAACTTTAAATTCATAATATTTATGTGTTTTTACAGATAATTTCCAACGGATCCTGAACTCGATAAAAAATTATAGCAAACAAATTAAAAATAGAAATTTGAAGGTTTTTTTTTAATTAAATATTTTATTAGTTAAAGAAAATAGTTTTATTATCCATTTAATTCTCTAAATCACATTTCAAAAAGCCCTTTTCAATTTTTTATAATTTGAAAATTATTAATGATCCACATTTTAAGAAATCAATTTCAATTTATATACCAAAATATCTGTCGTAAAAAGCGAAGGTAAAAGAATTTTCTAAATTAAAGTATTTATCGTAAAAAAATAATGCAATTAAAGTAGAGTATTCTATGTATCTAAAATATCGTTACAAAATTTATATTTTAAGTTTATTTTAAATTTATCAAAATATTATTATATTATTATTTGATTACTTATTATTATTAAGAATATTATTATTTTATTATAAATTTAATAAATTTCGCAATTGGATTTGCTCCTCCTTGTTTGTGAAAAGCATATAGAATAGGATAATAATGAGGATAGTATTTTAATCAAAGATTTGAATTGGAAAGAAAATATTTGAATGCCAACAAGTAATAATAATCGGCATTCATCAGAATTCATCGTTTCATTGCATGAAAATAGAATAGAATGAACTCACAGAGCAATCTCGCTGTTCACGCTAAACCGCGCGCATTCTTTTTTTTCCATTTCTATTCGCGAAAACCCCCTTTTCATTTTCTCGCGGAGCAACGCATGATTGGTATCGTGATTATTAAAGTAACTTATATTTTTCCCCTCTATTATTTTTCTGAAATCACTTGTTTTTATTGTAAATTTAGTCATATGCTGCTCAACGATATAATTCTGCATATAAAACATGATTTTTTTCCTGAAAAATCAAGACATATCTAAATAAGATAGTTTATCATTTATGTCAATATCAAAGAAACTATTACGATTTGCCGATAATATAATAATTTCTATATATAAAAATAAATATATCTATTAATTAATTAATTTTTTTTCGAAGAAATTGTGAGTACGATATTAAATAAGCCACTGGATAAGATTTATTGTTGACAACTGTAAGCAATAAGTAATAATTCCGTATGCATATATTGTGGCTTACTTTATTGTTTCTTTACTTGAATAATCTGTAGTCGTGATATAACAATAGTATTTTAAAATATAATTAAAACAACATTCTAATAATTAAGATAAATTCTAAAAGTAACATAGTTTATCTTAATTTTGATATATACATGTATATTATATTAAATGTATATACACACAGAAAAATACATACTGTATGCAAATAATAATTATTTTGTTTCAGTAAAAGCATTTTAAAAGTTCATATATCCGCAAATCTATTATAAATTTAATAGCATCAAATTTATTCAAAACATATATATATTCTGTGAATCTTAGTAAGTTTAATACTTCAATCAAGATTATTAAATTAGATTATTAAATTAGAAAAATTAAATTTATTTATTATTAAAGACGCTTCTTCGATCAGTTTTATATTAAAAAAAAAGAAAAAAAAACAATTCTTAAGTTTGTTTTAAGTTTATAATAATGAATTTTTCTAAAATTTGTAATAAGTACATTTTAAGATCATTATAAAAAAATATTCTTTAGTAAAGATAATCGTTACTTGAAAGGAAGAAAATAAATGAAGTAATCACTTTTCTTAGCAATAGAATGATATTTTCTGTTTTTGCGATAAATATACGTTGTCTTTTGATATTTTTATTAAAAAAACAAATTTTTAACAATGAAAAACTTTCTAGACGATTATAGATTATAGATTATCCTCATTCATAATCTTCGTTCATGGAAAAGTTCTAGGATCTCTTACAAACGCTTTAAGGAAGGAAATCGAGACCGCCACTGGTGAAATCGGGAAATCCTAAGGGGTATCGCGTGTTTATCCGTCCACAGGAAGCGAAACTTTCGGCCGTACAAATGCGACCGCACGTGCGATTTCGCATAGGGGCGGTGCAGCGTCGCACGGGAAAGGGAGGGTGGCCGAGGGTGGAGTGATATCTCCGGATGTAGAAGGGAGGTATCCCCCTACCTCCGATCTCCTTCATTTCTCAGTCAGCACGAGGTGAGAGAATGGAGGACAGCCAGGTGATTCAGACGCGCGTGCCACCCCGCAGAAACTGACGTTCTCTAGCCCGCGGGAATCTTCGTCTTGCCGCTGTGCGAATTCTTCAAACTCTGGAAAGTCCTACGGGATAGCTTCAGTTATGATCGGCCGGAAAATTGTATTCCTGTGAAGTTATTAGGGGAGTTAATTCGGGAGATAGTAACGTCGAGTGAAAATGAATTTCGGTCGGATAATAAAAAGGAATAATGAGAGAAAAGTGAATTATGAAAGATATCAGGTTTAAAACTTACGACAGGCGAAATTTTGTTTCATAAAACTGTGAACTCCGCATTCTAGAAATTTGAACAGTTTCGAGTTTCTGATTTCTACGAACGTGTCTTGGATGCATCAAGTCCATTGGAATAACGTCGGTTTTCTACAAGTTTAAATCTGATGACACCTAAATGCAGAAAATCCTGAATCTTTAAAAAAATAATGTTCCATACCTGAGAATTTACGATTCATTTATTCATGCTAGAATATTTGGACGAACAGAAAACTTCAATAAAAAAAATCTTTTAAACTCATCTTTTGTTTATCTGAAAGAATTTTACTTTTAAGAAGAGAGAGAGAGAGAGAGAGAGAGAGAGAGAGAGAGAGTTTTACTAAATTATTTTGTTTGATTTGAAAGAAATATTGGGAAATCTTTCGTATGAACGATTAAGTCTACAGATTATATAAATTCGTTAAATGTCCGCAAAGAAGATGAGAAGACCGTCATCGCCGCGACGTTTCTTCGCGCGGCTTTACGGTCATTTGGAGGCGACGAAGAAAACGGAAGATGACGAGGACGAGGATCACGCGAGGGAGAGTCTGGATTCTTCGCCAGAGATCACGGAGAAAACATCACACGAGCTTCCCGACTCACCTGAATCACATAAAATGTTGCCTGTGAGTACAAATAAATCCTTCGTTTTAATATATACATAGAAAAGTTCATTCTATCGCTAAGAAAAGTGATCACTCGATTGATTTTCTTTCTTTTGAATTACGGTTATTTTTAACAAAGATATTTTTTCGATAATAATCTTAAAATGTACTGATTATGAATTTTAGAGAAACTCATTATACATTTTGTACTCAAAATAGAAGAATTGTCTTTTGAAGAATATCATAAAATCGATCGAAGACATTTTTTTTTATAATAAGCAAATCGAGTTTGTTTTAATTTAATAATTTCATTGAATCTATTAAACTCAAATTATCTTAATTTTCGGTTGATTTTTATAAAGTTCCTAAAAAATGTCTAATTCCAGAGATTTTAAAGTTAAGTTTCCTAAACTTTTTTCGAGGAAAACGTTTTGATTGATGTGGTTATGATAATCAGAAATTCCGTTTGGTCTCACCAAAATATCAATTCTTGTTATTTTAATTAATCAAAATATCTTTTTATTGTAATTTATTAGTATAATGTATTTAATACAATTTTAAAATTTTCAAAATTTCTGTATGATTTTATAACTTTTTAGACAATTTTTTTAATTTTTAGATACAAATTGGGATACTTCTCAAAAGTCTATATCTCTTCTAAAATTTCTTAACCTGTGAATTCTGAAATATTATAAATTTAACTTTCTTGTTCTACATTTCCGAAGAAAAGTTATAAAAGTAAGAAGCTTAAGATATTTTTTTACAAATCTTTGTAAGTTTGAAATGTGAATAATTCTTAAAAAAATATGACAAGATGTTATGAGAAGAATTTTTGTCTAAATTTAGTCAATGTTAGGATTAAATTGTCACTTTTCTATTTTTGTAAGGTGTCACACTCCAAGGACCTGGAAAAAGTGCCAAACGATGTCGCAAGTAGTAAAATATTTGAGAGCAAGGAAACGAAGAAAGATTCGATGCTCACAGGTGTGAGACTGCCTTTTCTGCACGGATTCCTTCCGCGAGGACCCGGCCAGACTTTTCATCTCACGCAGCTCGCGCACCCATCCACGCTGCCGTCACATCTTCACGTTTTGCCGAACCATCAATCCATGGCCGAGCACCACTTCCAAGGATTCTCAGCCTTCCGTAAGCTTCCTGTTGCTTCTGTACCGCAGATTTCAGTTTTCCGCAATTAACATAACATTCACACGTGTCTTCCGCCGCTCTGGAAGAATTTTAATAAATGCATATAATCAATCGATTTTTGTTAAGTCTATTTTAATAAAATTAATTTTAATCATAAATTTAATCCGATATTCGTGGGTTCAGTGAATTTTAAATTATATCTTAAAGTTAATGTAATTGAATGATTTTTTTTTATTTTGAAGGTCAAAATTCGAAGTATAAAATTGTGTAACTTAAAATTATGTAAGATTATGAAAATTTAGCTTTAATTAACAAAAGTTGCTTTATTTTTAGTTAATTTGATTGATTTTAAACAATGATTAAATAATGAAATTGTTGTTTAAATAATTCGCGTTGTCCTGAAATTTCTGAATGCTTGCAAATATCAGGATTACAACTATTTAAGAATGTTCGGATTTTAAACTTAAAAATAAATTGACCCTATCGTGAAATTTTTTCACGTAAAAATCTACAAGTAAACTGGATACTTGAACAATATTCGTTGTCAGATATTCTACGAATATATCAAGATCTATTTTATTCATTTAAAATTATAATATACATTAGGAGCCTGAATTTTAGCATGGATTTTATTTGATATTCTATATGGTATCATCTATCTATGTATCTTTGGCCAAGAAACAAACACTCTGTTCCATTCGTGCATCCAACCTGCAAGTTGCATGGAGATACATACCATGAAAATGCAGGTGACTGCATAACGCGTCTCCAAAAGCTCGACTCTCTCTCTCTCTCTCTCTCTCTCTCTCTCTCTCTCTCTCTCTGCCTGCATTTTGTATCTCCCTCCTCCTCGTCTCTTCGTAAGCTTAGGATCGAAAGGCGTCTTTGCGTTCGAGTATTCGCGAATCAGTAAGCAGATTTTGTGATGTCGCATTACGTGACGCCCGCGCCGAGCGGCCACCGTCCATACGGAGAGGATATTGAGGCACTCTTCTGTCGCGCAACAATGGCACAATCCCATACAGAAAGGATTTCAGGAGGAAATCAATTCAGACGCTTCTCTGAAATTTAACAAAACTTTCACCATTTTTCCGCGGCCTGGCTCTCCCCCAGCTCTCTCTAAAAAAAAAAAATGTATTTGTTCACTTATACATTTTTCACTTGAAAAGGAATCTTTTGTCTTATAGAAATTTGACAAATTTTGAAATATCATAATTTTGAAATAAATAAAAAAAAGTAAAAGCAGGATTTGAAAAGCGTAATTTTTTCAAGTACAAAATAATTATTCGAAACACAGGAAATGTTGAGCAATTACTTATAGAAATATCCAAATGATCGTTTTTAAGCGGATAAAGATATATTTTTGAATAATTTCACAGAACTAAACAAATTTAAGAATTTTCTTATGAAATTCGAATAACCTCGGTTTTCTAAATTTTCCAGTTATTTCAGAAAGTGTTGTACGAACATTATAGAACAGTACATCAACTTATATAGAAATTCGAATATATTTCTAAATAAAATTTATAATTAAAATATTTTAGAATTTTTCATAAAATATAAATATGCCCGAAATCAGAGTTTCTGAAATATTCTTTTTCTTACAATATTTTTAAACTATTTTAATTGTGAAATATTTAAAATATTTAAAATATTCTACAAATATTTACGAAAAATTTTTGAAATATTAAAAAAAATTTTACAAAATTTTCATATAAATATTTCACGCTGTATGAGATTTCTATTTTTACAAACGGGTTTAGAGATATTCTAGCAGATGACCAGAGGATATCGCTGCGGCGGAGGACGGGAGAGAGGAATTAACGAATTTCACTCTTCATCTGGAAAGTTTGACGCTCCGCGTCACGCCAGAAACATTGCGAGGACAAGCCGCACGCGGCACGCACACTCACTCGCAGGTTTTATCCCGCTTCGACACTTCGTCGCGATTGTGATGAGATTACGAGACGCAGTTGGCCGCTTTTCAATGCGAGAAATACACCACCGCGGTATTCCTACTGAAAAACCCAACTCTTCTCCTCTCCCAGGTTCCTTTAAGCCTCACAAGCCACCGATTCGACTCGCCGGATGTTTGTATAAGTCGCGTTTGTATCGTCGAGGAATCTATATCCGTTGATGCTTGTGACGTATTCATATTTGATCCCAGCGATCCCAATTTGTTCCAAATGTTGAAAGATATTTTTTCGTAGAGATAGTTAACAGGTGTCACAGCATATCGACGAACATTATACGGAAATTCTCATAATATTCCATAATATCTTATAATATTCTTAAGAATTTTTCATATTTTAAATTTACAAAGATTTCTGAAGTCTTAAATGGTTATAAGGTCCAAAGAGCAATTAGTATCCCATATCCGTTTTACGCCAGATTGGACGAAGCCTCGGGAAGCCTCAATTTCCGATATCGCTCTCTTTTACCAGTGCATCCTAATTATTCTATTACGTAACAAAGATGAAATTACAGCATGGCCAGATTTATTTCATGAATCCCATCAAGTGTGCTGAAAAACAAAAATGAAAATCAAATTGAAGTATTAAGAAAGCAAATCATGATACACATGTGATGAATTTTTTATTTTTAAATTACTGAATTTTGAAATGATGACATATTATTACTGAATAATTCTTTTTAAACTCTCTGTGCTATCTGGGTATTTATTGCAGGTGTGTGAAAAATGCTATGAAAGTAACTTAATAAGACATTAGAATCTAAGTAAAAAATAATTACTATACATATTTTATTTATATTCATCAAATATTACATAAAATATTTAGTCTATATTTTAATACTTCAAATAAAACTTTATATAAAATATGTCTAAAATGTTTATATAACATTTCAAAAAATGAATAGTAATAAATATTCTGTGCTATCTGGGTAGATACATGTCTAGTCACTGGAACCATTAGCCAGATACTCTTAATATTTCTAAAAAAAAATGATGTATTTACTAGAAAGAATGATGTATTTATCAAAAATAAAAATTAAAAAATACTTCAAAATCTTTAGTTCTTATTCTAAGAAAATAATTTATGACACAGATGTTTACATGGCTACATTTTAAATCAGAATTCTATAGAAATAAGTAAGAATATCTCGTGCTATACATACGTAAATTTTGAACATGTGAAAGGAACTTTTGCACTTACTGGAGATTTGTATCTCTTTCTTCGTAGTGGCACGTAGAAGAAGAAAAGAGGGCCGACCACGAAGACAAAGGACAACATTCAGCGGCGAACAGACACTGAGGTTGGAAGTTGAATATCGGCGGGGAGAGTACATTTCAAGGGGACGCAGATTCGAGCTCGCAACTTCCTTGAGACTTACCGAGACGCAAATCAAAATCTGGTTCCAGAATAGGCGCGCTAAGGACAAAAGAATCGAAAAGGCGCAACTAGACCAGCAGTATCGGTACTCACATTTTTGTCTATTAATATAATCTATATAATCTATATAATCTATCTAAAATCTTATTTGTAATCTAAATTGTATCTTTGGATTTCTTCTCGAGAATACTATTAAATGAATTCGTTCTTCTAAATTTTTAATTTATGAAGATATTTCAAACTATATAAAAATAAAAAATTTCAAAGTCAAAGTATAAGTTAAGACAAATGCACGATAATGATATGCATACATAAAAATTCCAAAAAAATAGTAGAGCTCTAATATGCAGAGTACAAATAAATTGTTCAAGACTTTGAGGAAATGCGAAAGAACAAATTGATTTTTTAATTCTCTCCAGAAAGACTTTACATTCTTAAAGTTAGGACTTTACACTGCTATTATTTCTGAAAGTTACTTAAGCCACACTAATCTAATTTCTCTTCGTTGAAACTGACATGGGAAAAGTAAGAGGGTCATATGGAACATATGGCAATTTTCGCATAGATCCCACATCCTTGCATCCCACGCACGATGCATCCAGTCGATTTGTTATCTTGTCAGCATGATGTATCATGCTTTTCAATGCGGCTATTAATGCGCGGGCGTTAGTTTCATCAGCTGTTCTTAGAAATATTCTCAGATAATCGGGGAAGGGGCTGTGTTTATCATCGCGAATTCTCCAATTTTCAAAATTCTCATAACGATGAGAGACAATATAATACCATAAAAATAATTTAAAAATAAAATGATTCTCCTTCTTTTAAATTATTCTTCTTTCTTTTTTTTCTATAAATTTCAAAATACGACAATTATTCTCAGGTCATCCCGGGCTGTTTACATCGTGAATACTCCAATTTCTGAAATTCTCACGGCGACGGGACTAGAACCTTCCTCTAAATATCCCAAATCGCGAGAGAACCATCAACCTAACTACCTCACCTGAAATCACGAGTACAATTATTCCGGAGAACACGGCCGGCACGGTCCGGAAGAGAGATGCGTTGCCCGATGAATTCGGCACCCTCCGTAATGCGAGGCGAGGCGCCGAGAACGCCCCGGCGCCACACAAAGACCGAAATTTGTACGAGCTCCTCCTTCCGCCGCACAATAGCGAAAGACGTAATCCCACTTAAGGCTATTTAGCGGCGTATCGCATCGGCGTATCAACTCCCGGTCGAAGCGTCCGCAGTCGAGCGTCGCATACTCGGGGTCCGTCGAATCTCGCCAACCCTTCGCCACTCTTGCACCCCTTGCACCACTCCCGGCGAGTGCTCCCGGTGTTATTCAGTCGATATGCACCTGACGCTCGATAAACCGGATAAACGACGGATAAATGCATCCCCCGTGTTAACCGCGAGATTTTCTCATCCACTTGTCGCAACCCTCGAGCGTTCCACGCATTGTCCTCATCTCTGCATTCTCAATTTGCTCTAAAAACGTTCAAAGACATTCATGGAAGAATATTTCCGAGGAGAGAATTCTGAGAAACGAGTGGGCAGAGTTTCATTTTGATCACACAAAATTTTAAATAGAATCTTGATAAGATTTTTAATAGAATATTGATGAACTTTTCATTTCAAAATCGTTAAGATATTTAATGTTGAACATTGAAAGTATTTCTATTTGTTTTTTGCAACATTTAAATGTTGAAGAAAAATATTAAATGTTGAAAATTAGAAAGGTTATTTTTTTACATTAAAATGTTAAAAATGAAAAATATTGTTTAATATAAGTTAAGTTAGTGTATTGTGTTTTAGTTTATGCTATATTAATCAGAATTATTACCTGTCATCTCTTTGATTGTCAAAGACCATATATCTTCATATTGAATTTTCTATGCCTTTTTCCAGTGTTTTTATTATTGAAGGTTGAATACAATTCCGGCGAACTTTTCTTTATTCGTATATTACTCTGAGTATATCTACATGTCTAAATCGTCTATCCTCTTAACATTCTTGAATCACGAATACTTTTTTTTTTCCTGAATTCTTAATAGTAAACAAAATATTAATTTAAAAAAGAAAAAAAATAGAAAATCAAATATATATTATAAATTCTTTGTCAGACTGATAAAATTTTGTACATAAATTGGAATACTTTAAAAAAAAACTCTGAGAAAATCATTCTTACATCTTCTCTCACAATTTTTCATATACATGAATTCTGAAATATTCCAAGATTTTTAAATAAGATTTTATTCCTCATTTTATAACTTCCGAAAATATAACAAATATTTCAGATTCTATAAGATTTTTATTTTCAAAATATTTCAGAATTGATACATATACAGAATAATTCTAAAAAAGATGTAAACAAAAATTCTAAAAATTATATAAAAAATTTTGAGAAAAATTTTTACCAGGGATAATGTTATAAAAAACTCGATTACGTTCCAAATGGCTGAGGTCTCGACAGCAGAACATCTCATAACAGTCTTCATTTAATAACCAGCCAGGCATTAGAACATAAATGAGCAGATAGGGCTGCCGACACGCGATCCGTAGTTTAAGTAACGACTCCGTTCCTCCCTAATGTTTCGCTCTCTCTCTCTCTCTCCCTCTGAATAAAAGCATTTATTTCAATTAAATAGAAACGCCATTCATAAATGCTCCTTTTTTACAATCTCTCCAAAGTGTCTTTTTTTTTTATAAGACAGTAGCAATCTTTGCAGTTGGAAAGTATTGAATATCTTAATTTAAGTATTCAACATTTACGATCACCACCATTTGTCAGAAAAGAAACAGTTAAACTTTGTTGTCAAATCTCTTTGTGATTTACAGAAACTTCGCGGTATCGAACGGTCTGGTGAATCTACCGCTTTACAATGCGACAGGATTCTGCGGCCTCTGCCTGTACAAAGATACTTACGGATCGATGACCAATCACTCCTGCATCTCCAGCAACCCCGTTGTCATCAACTCGTCCTCGAAGGATCAGCCACGTTACAGCAGTAGTAGTAGCGAGACGTCTGATAATCCGCCGAATCTTGTGTCCACGACTTAATTAAATCCAACGTGCGATCGCTATGTTCACTGATAAGACACATCTGACAATAAGTTCATTTTCCTTTTTTTCTGTATAAACTATGCGATATAGAAGCAGTTTTAACGATCAATTTTCGGCGTGCACGAAAGGTGAAACGTTAAAAATCTTTTCTGGCGCTATATAATAAGTAATTAGGAAAAATTGCAATATTTATTGATGTCAAAAGATACTTTTTTGTACCAGTTTTTTTCTCAATTTCATATTTTTTCAAATATCGTTGGAATTGATTAATTTAGTTTTTAGAATTTTTCATGCAATTTGCCGAATTCTTTTTCAATTGCAATTCCTCATTTGTTATTTATTTGTATGGGATGAAAGATAAAAAAAATCATGTTTATTTCTACTGATGTAGATTAATTTTAATCTTGGTTTAAGTTTGCCTAATTCTTAGAACTTGATTTAAAAATGAACTAACATTAGTCTTCAAGATTAAAACTTTTAGACTTTAACTTTCAAGATTAAAGCACGTCGAGAATGAAATCAATTTGAAACGATGAAAAAACATGAAAAATGTTAACAATTATCGAAAAGTCAATCGGATTACAATTAATCATAATAGTGACGTAACGTATAAAGTTGCACAATTATTAATTATATAATAATTATAATAAACATAAGATTCAAGCATGTTTTGTCTGTAATTAACAAGCTTAATCAAAATAACGAGAATACACGAAACTGCAAAAAAATATATATATATAGTTTAGTTATTTATTTAATTGTTTCGCGAATAATTCACAATAATTAGTGCAATGAGTTATAATATAAATATATCAAATAACTTTTTATAGCTGACGCATAAGTACAATTGCATGTATTTCACGAGTTTGGAGGAGAATGAAAAAACACAGCTCTATAGACTAAAAGAAGTTTATTAAATGTGTAAAAATAGTATTACAATCTAAATACATATAATATATTCTTATTATATCCTAAACAAATCCTAAATTTTTTAATTTTTAGAATTTCTATAGTTTCAAGAATTCTTCAATTTCTAAAACTGTAAGTTCTTTATAACTGTAAATGCAAGAATTTTGCTCCGAGAGATTCCGATCCAAGAAAGAAAGTAGACTCTTTTTAATCCTCAATTAAATTTTTTAAAATCTTTCAATTTTTTCTTCATAAAAAATTTTTTTATTGCTAAAAATTTTGATAGTGGAGACTCAGGTCAAAAGTAACACGAGTAAGTTGTAACACTTACATAAAAAACGTTATAAACAAAATATAAAAGCGTAAGGAAGAGATAGAAGTTTATAATATATTTATTACAAACTTTTATCTCTTCTTACACTTACATATTTTGTTTATAAAGTTTTTTTATATAATTGTTACTTCCCGTTTTAGTTTTGATCCCTGTTTGCTGAAAATACTTTTTCAATTGTTACATGTAGAAGCTTAAGAGAGCAGCCTATCTTGTAAGTTTGAAATTAATAATTTTTGTGCTTTTTGTGAACGTAATAAATTTCTTATAAAATTTTCAAATATTTTACTAATTAATTATTTAAAGTTGTATGTGTAACTTTTAGAAAAAAATATTCGTTTATGAAAAAAATATTAAAAATTATTTTTAAAAATGTCTTTAATATACGTATACAATAATTTGTCTTCATCTGATAAAAAATGCTAAAATGCTATGTAATTAAAGATAATATCTTTAATTATTTCCAAGAAGAAATTAAATATTTGCAAGATAATAGCAAATTAAAGTCAAATTTCGAATATTTACTTCAAAATTTTTCCTTTGAAAATATAATATTATTATTTAATATTATTATTAAAATAATATGAACCGTTTAGTTCTTTGAAGTGTTGCTACAATATAAACTGCATCCTTAAGACTAATATAAGCCACAATCAAAAATTTTTGAAGGAGCACATCCTAAGTATTAAAATTTTTAATTTTTATATTCATTTTTTCAATCTTTGGACTCTTGGAAGCTCTTTAGAAGCTTAGATTCTTAGACTTTCTCAAAATTACCTGATCTCAATTAATACTTAAAACAATTTGAAAAAAATAGATCGTTACTTGAACTTACCTCGGTCGGCAGCCTTGGAAGGACGGCGGCACAGGCATATCGCTCTCGCAGAGTACCAGCCCAAACGGTAAACCAGAAATTAATGAAAACGAAAGACAGCAATTAATACAGTGAAAGTAAAAAGAAGTCTCAATAAGAAACGCCCTGCCTGCCCTTCGCGAACGAGAGAACTTAAATAAATTAAGTTTCAATATTTCTCGTTTCTTTTTTTCGCGTCTTTCAAGGTGAGGACACAGCTGACTGCCCTATAGATTTGAATGGACTTCTCATGTAATGAATTTACATTGAAAATAAATCCATACGTGTCTAAATATAGCTTTCGATAAATATTAATATTCGAGATTCAGATTTCTGAAATTTCAATTGCTCATAATATGTAAATCTTGAGAGCAGTAAAGTCTCTTCGATAATGCCAGTTGTTACATCTCAACTTTAGATTTTAGCCTATTTATTAAACTCATTTTTCCTTTAAAAAGACTAATATTTCGTCATCCAATCTTAATTAGTTGTGATTTTTTTTATATTAGCATTACCTGTTCTTGCATGATTACATCCTTAAATGTTTTGAAAATCTCGAGTTCTTAAAGAAAACCTTGTATATTAACGAATCAATATTAAAATATATCTATAGTATAAATCAATTATTCTTATAGGAATCTAAGGTGATGAAGACTTTTGAATTGAGAATACTTGCTAACATTTTGAATATTAAATATATTATTGATAATTGATTTCCTAGGCATCATAGTTCTGATAGTTCTGATAGATTCCTTCAACTTAATATGCGATAAAAACATCACACCTTGAATAGAAATGCTATAATTTGAAAATTTCTCTACGAAGTGAACATAAAAAAATCAGAAAAGAAGATATTTGAAGATCTAATTTATGAATTTTTCTAAAGTACTCGATGATATAAAGTTCTGTTTGCTTAATAGCCATAAATAAAGTTTTAACTTGTTTTTCTCTAAAAGATTCATACTATATATTTTTAAACCATAGATCTTCGGACGACGATATGTGAAAAAAAGCACATTTCTTAAAGAGCCCTCTTCATCTCTAAGCGATATATTTTTAGAGAGACTTTCTGTGTACACACACGAACACTGGTGAAGATATAAAAAAAAAGAGAAGAAAAATATAAAAAAACAGTAACGATGCAACAGCTATACGAACGAAAATGTATCTCCTGTTCAACCTAAAACTTTCTTTGCGAAAGGAAGATGAATTAAATGGAATCGGTAATATTCCACTTAGCGTTACATATGTTTTGCTAAACTTCGTGATTATGTATATATCATTGAACAAAATGTTTAAAAAATTTTTAATGTATTTTTTTTAATTAGAATTTTAATTGAAATTTTTTTTAATGTTAGAATTTGTATAAATTGATAAATTAAAATAAAAATAAACTTTAGTATATGAAACATATACAAACTTTTTATTTAATATAGATATACAAACGACAAATTGCAAGATAGATATAAAAATTGAAATAAAATCAGTCTTCAATAAATAATAAAAGTAGTTTATATATTTCAAAATTAATTTTGTATAAATAGTTTTTAATTCGCAAAGTAAAAATTTATTTCCACTTTATGTGCATACGTGCTCTTTTTTTAAATCGTGCCTCCTATTTTTTAAAAGAGCATGTGTTTTTATTTTTTTTCTTTTTGCATCAAATTATAAATGCAACGTTATAAAAAATTTGTTTAATTTAAAAGATTCTGACTATTTCAGAAATTTAACTTTCTCGATATAATCTTAAAGCAAATTCTACCGATTCTTTTCCATTCATCAAACTTTCGCAAGTTCTTATTAATAACAACAATTCTGGTATACAGTGCCACCAGATACACAACGTAGTCGCCAAAAACATTGTAAAATAAGACTGTAATGTCATGCACACACTTGTTGCCATTTAACACCCTATAAAAATATATGTACATTTACGTGTTATATATGTATACTAAGCAAATGAATCGAACATTCCTACCTGTGATTGCATAACAGAGGCTAGAATGGAAAGAGTCTAGTAAACACTAGTCCTGTCTGTCGCAGCCTGAGAATCCTTTCTCTCTCTCTCTCTGTTATTTTTGCCTTTTCCCTTTTTTCCTGTTCTTTCGCTCTTTCTCTCTGCTATCTGCTAGCTTCTTCCTGGCTCTCTTAAGCTGATAATCTTCGTCACTAAATTTCAAAACTGCACTAGACTAACTAGAGACTACTCTAGTACTTCAACACCGCTCTAAATCTACCGAAAAGTGATGAGCTAATTGGGGGATGAGAAGATTCGACTCGAAAATTATGCTTTAGATAAATACTTGAATTAAATCTTTAAGTATGTAAATCTTCAACTAAAAAATTTCATTTTAGTAGAGATTCATTATATCAATAGTATAGGAAAATTTTATCTTTTCTTAACAGAATCTCTTCTCCTAGCAAAAGCAATTAAATTTAAATGAAATTTCGAATTTTTTGAGAAAATCAATATTAAAAAAAAATTTATTCAGAGCTTGAAAACTTTAACAACCTTGAGATACTGTAAACTTTTAAAAAATCTCCCAAGTTTTTAAAAATTAAGTTTTTTAAATATTAAAAATATTTTAAACAAGTTTTTTAAATTATTCTTTCTTATCACTCTTTCAAAATTTTCAAGATTTTTTAAGAATTCTCAAGTTGAGTAGTGATTCGAAATTCTTGATAATCTATCACTATCTAAAGCACAAATCTTTCTATAATAAAAAATGGGTACAAAAAAAATTCGCAAGTCGTTTGTGACATTCTTCCCGATGAAAAAAAAAACTACAAAAGACTGGGATGGGGTTTACGTTCTATATAAATGATTTAATACTGCGAATACATATTTGAACATTGACGCCTCGAGGTATCGGTGGTATTTTTTTTTCTTTTTCATTAACTACACAGTCGACAGTACATCTATTTCTGCCTTT